AATCAGAGCCATATGCACTGATTCCACTTACCTACAAATTAGACTTTAGGATGCAGTTAGGAACTAATCTTGCCTGTAACCCGAGGACTTCCAGAATACCTACTGATACCTCCCCCAAGGAATGTTCTATGGGACTAAATACATTCCAGAGTGATGCCAGTTTGGTAAAAGCCCTGAACCTGAGGAAATTAAAGGCTGGAGAGGTAGGAAATTTCCCATGACTCTTTTAAAATGGGAATCAGCAGGTTTTTTTGAAAGTTTCAAAACTAATCTGTTGTCAAAAGATTATGAAAAAGGAACAGAATTTTGTTTTCAAAGAGTAAAATGTGCCTCCACCCTAGCTCACCGGGATGGTGTGAGTGGGTGTGGAATACAGATAATTGGATCCACTTAACGAAGGGCAATATGCCCAGCAAGGAACTTAATGATCTCTACCATCAGAAACGGTTTCAAGTGCATGTGCATATTGGCTAAGCTCATAATTATAAACTACTAAAAGTGACACTTTCACAAATCTAATGTGTCATTAAAACTAGTGTCATCAAGGACAGTCTCGCTGAATTTTAAAAGTGAATGTTCAGAAAAATGAAGAGGGACCTCTCATGGCATGTTGATCGTAAAGTTAGATCAGGAGAACCACACTCTTTTCTTCAGAATCTCACACAGACCACTTCAGATGGTCTTACTTAAGAGTCTGTTGAGGTTATTAGATGGCAGCGGTAGTGCATTGTGAACACTACTGCCGAGAGTCTGAGCCAGCAGGTTAAAGCTCACCATGCTTTTGATATGTAATCCCTCTTCTCAAAAGAGTTTCTGGTCCAGTCAGGCTATCTGTGAATGTGTGCGTGTACACACACACACACACACACACACACACACACGCACATCCTATAACATAAGTAACCTAAGTGCTATGAAGTACAAAGTGTGCTGTCGTGGCACATAGAGCATTGAATTACAACCAAGAAAAAGAAGGCTTCCCAGGAGAAGATCGTCCTGGAGTAAGTCTTAATGACAGAGGGGTTGCTGAGCAGATTTCAGACTCTACATTTGAATTGAGATCAGACTCTGCATTGAGTCGCAGTGTAAACAAAGGGCCAGAAACTGGGGAAGTCCATTCTAGTTCAGTACGCAGGCACATCACCAACAGGAAATGAGGCTGCGCTGGAAAAGACCAGTCTATGTAGGACCTTGAACACTGCTGAACTGTGTTCTGGACTTCATTTTATAAGCCATTTTAGAGCAGGTGGGTAATGTGATCAAGTCTGTGTTTTGGAGTGAAATGAACTCTGGTAGCAGGAGGATTGGTGACAGAAGGGATGGAAACTAGCAATGGCTTAACAGCTCTTAACTGAATGAGCCCTCCCTATCAGAATGATGAGGGCAACAAAAGTACAAATATGCTTGACACAATGCACGGATGTCCCTGTCCTGCAGAGGCACAGTGAGTTGGAATTGACTCAATGGCAGTAATTCCCGGCCTCAAGAAACGAAGATTGTACCAAATTTAGCCTACAGATCTGTGTATTTCACTTTTTCTGGGCCACTTTGTAACTAATTGGCATCTGTAAAAGTCTTTGAGTAAATCGTGAACATTTATTTTGTGAAGACTCTTGATAGGTTGATTTGGAGATTGTTTCAAGCAACAGAAATATCTTTGGACTCAGAATTAACGATGGCAATTTCACATGAGGCAAAAGATGCATTAAATCTTTTTAACTAACCAGTCCAAGCTGTTTCTCTACAGCTTTATTGAAGTACGACTTACATACTATAAAATGCACCCATTGTAAGTACAAGTTGAGTGATTTTTAGTAAATTTATAGAGCTGTGCAGTCATTCCCACAGTACAGGTTCACAGCGTTTTCCACCTTCCCAACAAATTCCCTGTTTGTAGTCTTTTCCCACTCTCACCCCAGGCCCAGGAAATTTCCTTTCTGCCTGCAAAAGACACCTTTTGATGTCATTTTATATTAACAGAATCATATAATAGATGGTCTACTGTAACTGGCTTTCATTTAGCATAGGCCCTTTTTTTCTCTCTTTCACATCACCCTTGTAGTATATGTCAGTATTTATTGCTGAATAGTATTCCATTGTATCGATATATGTAGTTTTACCTATTCACTTACCAGTTTATAGACAGTTGCATTATCTCCCCACCCCACCCCTGACTTTAACTATTTTGAATAATTGCTATTATGAGCCCTCTTGTGTAGACACTTGATTTTGATTTCTCTTGGGTGGATTCCTGAGAGTGGAATTTCTGGGTCATATGCTAAGCTTCAGGCGATTCAGCAATTCAAATCCACAAGCTGCTCCAAGGGAGAAGGATGCAGCTATCTTTTTCCATAAAGATTTACAACTTTGGAGA